GGCGTAACAGCTACTTGGCTTTCGCCTATATTCAAATCACCTATGGCAGATTTCGGTTACGACATTTCAAATTTCACTGAAGTTGATCCGATATTTGGCACAATGGCAGACTTCGATGCAATGATTGCCAAGGCGCACCAACTGGGACTGAAGATCATTTTGGATTTTGTGCCCAATCACTCGAGCGATGAGTGCGAGTGGTTCCAGAAGTCGGTACGTCGTGAAGATGGCTACGATGATTTCTATGTGTGGGAAGATGGTAAAATCGATGCGCAGACAGGCGAGCGTATGCCACCGAGCAATTGGGTGCGTGTACTCCGGAACCATTTTGTTATTACTTGTGAGTTGCTTTCATATTGTAGGTGAGCGTCTTCAGTGGGTCAATGTGGACGTGGAACGAGCAGCGTCAGCAATATTTCTTACACCAGTTTCTGCCGAAACAACCAGACCTGAACTTCAGAAACCCAATGGTGCGTGAACATATGCTAGCGGTGTTGAAGTTCTGGGCCGATCGTGGCGTTGATGGCTTTCGTATTGATGCGGTGCCACATATTGGTGAAAAAACGTTATGCTAACGGCACATATCCAGACGAGCCGAGTAGTGGTTGGAGTGATGATCCCAACAGCTACAATTACCACGAACATATCTACACAAAAGACCAACCACTGACGCTTGAAGTCGTTTACGAGTGGCGCCAGTTTTTTTGATGAGTACAAACGGCAGAATGGTGTAGACACGATGTGAGTTACTCGGATGGAGTGTATGTAATAGCAGATTTTGGGTTTTTTTAAATAAAAGATTCGTACCTTTTTATTGGCAGCGCGTTACTTGCAGAAGCCTACTCCTCTGTTGAAGTGCTCAGCGATTACATCAACAACGGCACACACTCTGGCACACAGATACCCATGAACTTCAATCTGATGTCCCTGATTGGCTACTCGACGGCCAAAAATGTGGAAGATTTGGTCAAAGGTTGGATGGATACGATTTGGCCGCGGCATCAGACGGCCAACTGGGTACTGGGCAACCATGATAGCGCACGCTTGGCCAACCGGGTGGGCCGGGAGAAAGTTGACTTGATGACTATGCTGGTGCATGCTTTACCCGGCACTTCAGTCACTTATTACGTAAGTTTGGTGGGGGTTTATGTTTTCGATAATAACTTGAACCTTCCAATATTGAATTTTTCTTAATAATCAGGGCGAAGAAATCGGCATGTCCAATGTAGTCACTGAATGCACGCCAGTCTCTTGCGATGATCGTGATCCCGAGCGTACACCCATGCAATGGGACACCACAGCGCATGCCGGTTTCACCACTGGTGCGACAACTTGGCTGCCGGTCTCAGCTGATTACGAGCAGCTCAATGTGGCGACGGAACGTAGCGTGGCGCGCAGCCATTTAAATATATTCAAAGGCATGACTAAGTTGAAGCAAACTCTAGCTTTCAAGGCTTTCAAGGACGAAAATGGTTTCTCATTTGGCGCTGTTTTGCCGCAAGTATTTCAAGTAGTGAGGTAAGGTCGGTGAAAATTAGGCAAGAGAACTTTTTTAATCATTCGGCTTTTTCATTAGAACCGCCGCCAAACAGGAGGAATACCGCATACTTATAAATATGGGCAACAAAATAGAATATTTGTATGGCTTGGCAAATCAGACGATGGAGTATGTGCTGCTCAGCCAATTCTCGCCTCACAGTTATGGGTATGAATAATGGAAACAAGAGTCTATTTTATATTGAAAAATGCTAACCTTTTTACAGCGAAAAAGTCGATTTGAGCAAACGGCTATATATGATGCCTTACGAGGCAGTTGTTCTGCTCTGGTCGACTGATGGCGACTGAATGATGTGCCAGCGGAAATATTTTTATTTTTCTAGTTTGCTTTTATCATTAGTATCTAGATAAGTGTTGCTTCCAGATAGCAAAACTGCCAACTTTTCCTCTCATACATGCGTAAACTGGTTATGTGTGTGTACACTCATATGTACATATTGGATCATTGTATATTAAAAAGAAAAAACCTAAAACTTTTTTTTTTTGCAAAATTTAAAGGTTTCAAACATCTACATTTCAGTTAATTCAATTTTTTATTAGTCAAATAGTCAGATTAGTAATATCTAGTATGCTTGCTGTTGTAGTCAAGCATGCAATCAGACGACTGTAAATTTATACAACAGGGCTGTTAATAGGTTTTTTATTGGCAAAAGCAATTAAGATTTAAATTTTTATTAATAAAATTTCACACTGATTACGATTACCGAATATGGGGAAGTAACTTCAATAAATCGGTATTTATTTATCAATCAAAAATCTGCATATGTATTACATAACCAAAGGTTTATTCAAAATTACTTCGAGGTTTCCGTCCCTCAGGCGAGTGTGGCCAATACAATGGCTTCTTTAGGAACCAGTACAATGTAGTTGCTTTGAACCTTGTCACTGAAAATTTAAATTGGACAATTAGAGTAAAGTTAAGTGGTGAAAGAGACACCTATGGATATCTTACCCCTTTCGCCGAACGCTTCTATCCGCCACCAATACATACTCCAGCACATTGGGTAGATCATTAAACGTGGCGTTCAAGTCGATCGTTTCAAAAGCGTTGTTAATATTCAGGAGTACAACGAATGTTCGTTCACCAGTTAGGTAACTAAAATACACACACATGGATTGGGTGATGAAAAATGCCTCCAAACGAGATCCAACAACCCTCCACTCCTCCACTTACCGCTTAATACCTAAAATATTTGCATTGATTGCCTTCACTTCAGTTTCTCCATCGCGTAGTGTATTTTCTACACGCAAATCCTGCAGCCGCTTGTATACATTTAGATGACTATAGGCAATGCCTCGTTCACGTTTCACATTCACTAGTCTATAATCCTCAGCCAGAGGTAACCATGTTGTATTACCTTCGGTAAAGCCGGCTTTGTGTCCGTCATTCCAGTGGAAGGGCGTACGCGGCGGATCACGGCTTAGGCTTTGGTATTCTTCTGGATTCGATTGACAACCCTGTGGATCGACGGTGTCCTCCCAAGAAATCCAAACATCCGTCATACCGATCTCCTCGCCTTGGTAAGTTACGCTTACGCCAGGCAAAGTCTTCAGCAATACGTTGATCAAGTCAATGCGATCGGCGCCTAAGCGTGTGCCAATGCGACTCTGATCATGATTTCCCAACTAAAGTAGGTCCAAAGAGGTGTATGAATTAATTAAAACTACATGCCGACCAAGAAGTTTGGAACGCTCATTTGCACTTACAACCCAATTCGCTACGCGCCCCTCGGGCATGCTGTCCAGCCATTTGTTTATGACTTCCGAGTAGAGGTAGGCATTCGAATCTTGGTCCAAATAGTTGAGTAGTTCGAAATTGAAAGGTATTTGAACGCCATCTGTGGTGGTATTTCCGTAGTATTGCATTACCACATCAATTGACGAAAAAATTTCGGCCATGAGTATGTGTTCATCGTCACCCAACTCCTCATCTAATTCTTTCAAGACCTGACGAAACTCAAAAACCATTTCCAGGGTCTCCGGTTGATCTCTGGTATAGATGTGCTCTAGGTACAGGTAGGAATCGGGGTTATCCACTTCGAGGTTACGTGGCTCATCAGGATAATTGCCATCCGCATCGACAGCTACTTCGTAGATATGTGGCACAGCGTCTATACGGAAGCCGGCAACACCCAAGCGCACCCAATAACGCAGCACATCCTATGCGAGCCATTGGAATTCGTTTAAAGCAAAGACAATTCGTTCTTATGAATTTTGATTTTTTTCAAACCTTCATTAATTCGCGCACTTTCGGATTATTGTAGTTGAGATCTGGCTGCTTGGCATGGAACTGATGCAGATAATATTCTTCACGGTCTTCGTTCCACGTCCACGCCGAACCGCGGAAATTACTTATACAATTGTTTGGCGGCACTCGTGTGCCATTTTCGGAAATTTTGCCCGGATGCCAAATATAGAAGTCCTTGTATTCCGGATCGCTCTTGACAGACTTGATAAACCATTCGCATTCATCACTGGAGTGATTCGGTACAAAGTCCAAAATTATTCGCACACCCAATTGCTTTGCTTTTGCGAGCAACTCCTGGAAATCTTCCAATGTGCCATATAATTTGTCAATTTCTGTGAAGTTGGACACATCATAGCCGAAGTCCGCCATAGGCGAAGTGAAGATGGGCGACAACCAAGTCGCATCAATGCCGATTTCCTTGAGGTATGGCAGTTGTTGGGTAATGCCTACAGTAAAAATTCGATTTGGCAGCTGCCTTAAGGTGCTTTGCGTGCGATAACTTACCCTTCAAGTCTCCAATGCCATTACCATCGCTGTCCTTGAAGGAGCGTGGGTATATTTGATAGAATGAGGCGGTTTCCCACCAGGCCTGGCCTGTTGCCGCACCTGCAGCCGCGGATAGCAGGGAAAAGAGCGCTAAAACGTTTAGAAAGTTTAACATCGTTTGCTTCGATTGGGCGCAAGACTGTGGTGTTATATTTCCACAAATGGCGCTTTTATAGATGAAACGGGTTGGCATTATGTTATCGGCGATCGATAAGGAATCATAAAAAACTAAATATAAGTTAGCACGGCACAGTTTATGATGGAGTCGAAAGTTTACGACATTCGCAGGTTGAAACCTTTAGTAAACGCTTCGTGGGTGGCAAATGGTTTTAGGTAAATAAGTAATACCCATATTTTCAAGTGGTTTTTCAAGATGTTTTGCAAATTTTGTGAAAATGCGATCAAGTGAAGGTATTTGGAAAACAAGCTAATTTAATGTATTTCCCAATTTCAAAACTGTATATGTATGTAGATCAGAAAGAAGCGACGAACTAACTGCGGATTCCATGTCGGTACCGGTAGTTCCCCGCCACGGCAATAGTATCTGTTTAGTTCTGTAAAACTAAATATTACTGATTATGCCTAATTTATTTCAACGACGATAATTGCAGCTATGTAAATAATATACTGCGTTACCATGAACGTGCATTAGACGCACAAATATTAATGTAACATAAATAATAAGATAAATTCAAACGCACTAATAGAAATATCCCTCCAGTACTGCTGGAGTCAATCGCTACTTTTGAACCGCTACTGCAACGACTCCTAGGTAAGTAGCTACTCCATTAACCCGTGGTAGTGCACATGGTAGTGCAGAGTCGAACCAGATAGCGAAAAACTACTACAGAGGGCGCCCATAAATCACGCAAGTGACTACTTTAGTAACTCCCGGTAGTGCAGAGAGAGCCGATGGTGACTACCGCCTAGGACATTGCCTTGTTAAAGTAATCGATGAAATACACTGCAAGTAGTCGGTCGGTAATTGACGGAGTTTATCACGTAGCTACCGATTCAGCAGTCCTGTAGTCGCTCCCCCATACTACAGGGTACATACATACGTAAAAGCGCATACTAATACACATGTGATATGCACATTGTTAATACACCTAAGTGTTTATCGATAAAAAACAGCAAAGTTCATAAAATATGGACCTTGATCCGTTGTAATTATTTTCCTTAGGCACAAGCATTTGACATGTTATGTTGTCCACATAAAATCATAAAATGATCTTCTTATGATGCGCATGTGCAAATAGATCATAACATACGTACATACATACATACACATGTGCATCCAAATGAGATAAGAAAACGTTGTAACTACCCTGTGGCGAAAATCTCTAGTTCTGAACTGGGGCGCTTCTAGCACATTTAGAACCACTACTAGTACGCGATAAATCTCTTTTGCATGCAAACAAATAGCGAATTTGACATGGTGATGTCATAGGATCCCTTGCTGCATCCCTTTTTCGATAGTTCCGAACTAGTCCTAAAATCGACAAACGAAAGAAAAATGTATCATGATTTTTCAATCTTTTCGGTTCTCTCCGATTTTAAATTATTTTCAAATAAATGTTTTTTCAATTTGAAATTAAATTTGTTTGAGTGATTTTAAGAAATGTATGTTTACATAACTTTGGCTGTAGCTGACTTTGCAGAGGTGTTTGGTGTTATTGGTTAAATTCCAGACGCTCCCAAGATGTGTTAAAATGTTAACACAAATTTTTGGTTTGTATTACAAAACTATGAAAAAGCATCTGGCAAATGCAGAATGAAAGTGCATTGAACGAAAAAGCCGCTAAACACATATCTATGTAAAGTAAACAAGCCCCCGCTGCAACCCTTTTACTAGTTCTAAATTCGACAGATAAAATCTAGTTCGTTCTGCATCCCCTTAGATATAGATTTCTAATGAGTAAAGTGAAATAAAATAGTTTCTTTAAGAGTACCACATTTCGCTATCATATATATAAACCTGATGTTTTGTGTCAACGCTCGATGTGTAGTAGTTGTACGGTTGGAGAACGACTATATTCCCGGTTGTCTGTGTGAATATTTTCTTCTCTATCAATGCGTTGTCGGATTGGTTTCATATACCCCGTTTTTTATAAGTATAGGATTGAATTCATACATCTTCATACCAAGTTCCACGGTTCCTTTTCGAACAACCACCATTTCCATTAGCTTGAGATTGACTTGATATATATCCATACCAAACTCCATTACTCTACCATGAACACTTCCAGAGATATGCCGTATGAAAAATTCGATTTGTAAATCGAAACTTTTTTTAGCTTATAACCATACTTGAAGTCTGCAGTAGGTGTCCGAAATTTCATATGATGTTATGTCAGTGCTCGTCAAAGTGGTGGTCCGCGGACCGGTGCCGGGCCGTAAGCCATAAGTCGCCGGTCCGCAAAGGGCGTCGCGAAATGGACAACGATTTTTTAAACGATTATATATACATATACGACTATATGTATACTCCACACTTCTAACCATGGTACAATTATCTACATGGTAGTAGCACTAGAAATTTCACGTCCGAGATGTCAAAATATTAAGTCAAAACACAAGCGAACACACAAACGAACAAAGCAAAGTAACCTAGTTTGACATCTCCAACACAAAATCACCTGTTCCACGAATAGGTACAGGATGGATACGAAATCCATTTATTGCTTCGAAGGCTGATCTGGCCGTCAATTTGGAAGATAAATTGTTGGAGTTAGCTGCTGACGAAGGATTGAAGATGGTTTTCGAAACTATGACATCACTTGCGTCATTTTGGATTCATGTCAAAGCAGAATACCCGGAACTTGCTGAAATTGCTCTGAAAGCTCTACTCCCATTTCCTTCATCTTACCTTTGTGAGACTGGGTTTTCAACCATGAGTATTATTAAGGCAAAGTACAGGAACAGTTTAAATATTAGTTCTCCATTGCGTGTCGCACTGTCCACAATTGAGCCACGACTTGATAAGCTTGTAAATAATAAACAGGCTCACCTCTCGCATTAGTAAACATCGACTTTCGTAACTTTACAAGGAATGACACCTTCCAATAGCATTAATATAATTTTAATAAAACTTGACGTGCTTATAAAATGTCTTATTATTATAACTTTACAGTTATTACATTTGTGATGTTTTATATTACTGTTTAATGAGGCTATATACAACTTGTATAATAAAAACAACTTAAATTTGTTAAACATTCATAAAAAATCGCTAATATCTGCTATAATTAAATGGTAATAGGTCATATATAGACACCCGGCTAATAAAGAAATTCATTTAAACAAATTTTAATACATATATGAGATGATCGTAAACGAAAAATAATCAATAAAAAAAGGTACCGGTCCCCGACGTAATAGAAAAACTGCAGCCGGTCCGTCACACTCAAAAGTTTGACGAGCACTGTGTTATGTGATGGCGGTTGGGCAAAGCTTAACTTACCGTAAGCAATTTAACAACCTGTCAAACAGCTGAAATAGAGGCAACTGGCCTAAGCTGACATGTAACATTTGACATGAGTAATCATTGACGATTTTTTGCGGTAAGTTAAGTGAAGTTAAGTCTAGACTAATTGAGCATTTAGTATTTGAACTGCTAAGCACTGATGTGTTGAACTCAATATTGAAATGGTCTTATTATCTTTTAATAATCCTCTTTCTTTCTGTCAATTTCTTAATCTTTTTGCTTATTGAGTGAATTTGAAAATTTGATAACGAAGTATGTACATATATATATATTTATGTATGCTTGAATATGTAGTACAAGCAAAAGCGCAAATACAATATTTCGAGATCAACGCAACGCTAAAAGACGAGAGTATGTTGAACCCAGCGCTCGCCGGTAGATTGAATGAGTAACAATCCGTGAAGCCGTAAAAGAATCGAATGTGACATCGTTATCAACAAAATGTTCGCACAACAACAAAGTAAGACATACAAACAAATTGGTTAGCGAATTTTTGCTACATAAGCACCCTGTAAGAAAACCCATTGGTATCGCAGTGGTGGGTATGCTTATAGTTGAATACGAATTTATCAAAAAGCACCTGCTTAAAATACGGTGGAGAAAATTTGGGGGGTGGAAATAACATACCTTTTCTTTATTAGAAATTCGGCCAAAACTTGGTGTACATCTTTTTGATCTCAAAAGCTCATGCCTTTCTTCAAACCATTCAAATCGGTAATCTTATAAATGCACACACATTCATTACGCGGCTGTACAGTTGTCTAGACTTTAACATTAAACAATTGAATCCAACAATTTTATCGAGCTTGAGGCCGTTTTTTATGAAAAATTGTGTGGAAAAACAATAACAAAAAACAAACAAATAAAAAAATTGAAGTATCCCAAAGTATGAGTACAGCATGAAAATGGCTCGAATTCAACGAACTCTTACATGTTCTGAACGAGTTTATTACGTCAATATAAGTTTTTCCTGCAGGGTATATTTGTATAAATAGCAAACAAATGTTGTTTTGTTGTTTAATAAGCGAAGTAAACTAAAAATAATGATTGAGCTTAAAATAAAATAAAAAAACAAAGGCGACGCACATAAATATCAACAATAAATATACACAAAATTAGTGCACCATTGGTACTCTCTTAACGCTAATCTCTTACTTCTCATGCTGCTCACTCAAGTGCGCAGCGTAAAACATTTAAAACGGCTGCATCAGTTTGCTTTGTGAAGTCGTTGTGTTAGCACTGAGCGTTCTGCAGGCTATTCAGGTGAGAGCCGATCACGCAAACATATACGTTCATATACATATATGTATAAGAAGATCAAATCCGTAGGTGGCTTACTATAGAAGCGATATTCAATACTGCAACTAAAGAACAAAAACTTCAAGTGACAAATAGAAACGATAGTGAGTTTAGCAAATATGACGCTACGGCGCCTATTGCTATTTTTGTTTGTGGTTACTGTCGGTGGCGTTACTGTTGTACATGCTGGCGGCTTTCCAAATTACCATGCACACTTTGATTTCATCAGCTGGGACAAACATCGTACGGTCGCACAACTGAATGCAGCGCAAAAGTGGTGGCAATCGGCGGCGTTCTATCAAATCTATCCAAGGTCATTTAAAGATAGCAACGGTGATGGCGTAGGCGATCTGAAGGGTGAGTTTGAGCGATGAAAAAGACTAGATTGTTGTTAAAAACTAGCTTGTTCTCAACCTACACAAATTTCCCTACGCAGGTATAGCTCAACAGCTACCTTACCTGAAGGAGATCGGCATCGCCGCTACATGGATATCGCCTATTTTCACGTCGCCCATGGCAGACTTCGGCTATGATGTCGCTAATTTTACAAATATCGATCCGATATTTGGCACTCTGGACGACTTCGATGCGCTGATAGCCAAGTCGCGCGAGGTGGGAGTGAAGATAATCTTGGATTTCGTACCAAATCACTCGAGCGATGAGCATGAATGGTTCAAGAAATCTGCTGCTGGCGATAAGGAGTATAAGGACTTCTATGTTTGGCATCCCGGACGCATTGTGAATGGCACACGCCAACCGCCAACGAATTGGATGAGCGTGTTTCGTGGCTCGGCATGGCAGTGGCATGAGGGTCGAAAGGAATATTATCTGCACCAGTTTCTGAGTAAGCAACCGGACTTGAATTATCGCAGTCCGAAAGTGCGTGCAGTGATGAGCGTGAGTATACTAGCAAACTATATGATGTATAGATGTATTTGTAAGGTTTTCCTTTAGGATGTCTTACGATTTTGGCTGGGACGTGGTGTTGCCGGCTTTCGTATAGATGCTGTGCCTTTTGCGTTTGAAATCGCACCTGATGCTAAAGGAAACTGGCCCGATGAACCCAGAAATGATTGGGTTATCGATCCAGATGACTACAATTATGTTAAACATATCTATACGGTAGACCAGCCGGAGACTTTGGATTTGGTTTACGAATGGAGACGCGTGCTGGATGAGTTTCAGAAGGAGAATGGCGGTGATGAGCGCGTCATGCTAACCGAGGCCTACTCGCCCATTGAGGTAGTGATGAAGTACTATGGTAACGGCACGGCAGAGGGCGCACAGATACCATTCAATTTTCTTATGATCAATTGGCTCACGAACGATTCGGATGCTTATCATTTTGCGGAAACGGTAAATACTTGGTTGCGGAGCATGCCTGAAGGACGCACAGCAAATTGGGTTGTAAGTTTACGGCTAAAGAAAGAACTACTCAGTTTGTTAAATGAAACTTGCTTACAGATAGGAAATCATGATCAGAATCGCGTCGGCTCACGACTCGGCGCCGATCGTATAGACATGTTGAACATGCTTACAAGCATACTGCCTGGCGTGAGCATCTCGTACTATGGCGAAGAGATCGGCATGACGGATGTTTGGATCTCGTGGAACGATACAGTGGACCCTTCGGCTTGCCACACCAATCCGGATATCTATGAGAAATTCTCACGTGATCCTGAGCGTACGCCCTTCCAATGGAATGATGCAAAGAATGCTGGCTTTAGCACAGCTGCGAAAACTTGGCTGCCTGTCGCTGACGATTACAGAACAGTGAATGTCCAAAGGGAGCGCGATCAGCCGCTAAGTCATTTGAGCGTTTATAAGCAGTTGCATTCCCTACGTAATGAATCTACTCTACGTCACGGTAGCGTTGAAGTGAAGGCGATGAACAATAATGTGCTAGCAGTGAAGCGGTGAGTGAGGCTGAAGGGAGTGGAATGGTTATAACGATTTTTAAATTTTAAATTTGTTACCACAGAATCTTGCTCAACGATTACACTTACGTGTTATTGATGAATCTGTACGACTCAACGGAGCAGGTGGACTTGAAGAGCGCTTTCGATAATATACCTGATGACTTTGAATACGCTATTGTGACTAGCAAAAGCTCGTCGAAACGGGGGTAAATAATATTGCATTAGTTCTCGTTGAATTTTTAATTTTATTAAATATTTTACCTTCCATTTCAGGGATATTGTTGAATCCTCTGTCGTAAAACTGTTACCTAAAGAAGCCGTTGTGTTGCGTTCCTCTACAAAACTGACCACAACAGTGGGTTACTTCGCTTATTATACGCCGAAGAATGAAAACCATTAGTGATTAGTTATGTAGAAGGTAAAAATTGTTTAACTATTTGTTTTGAACTATAAATCTTAAGAACTGAAAACTCAATGGTTTACGTATCGCAGAATAAGTTCTCTAAATGTTATCTCAATATTTTGTTTATTTTACTACGTATGTATGTATACCAGGGAAATAAATGTAGCAATCTAGCTGAATATATATAAACCCTCTTTGATTTGTTATCGCTATGGTATCGAGTGTTTTGCTAAGTTGACAATAATCACTTGAAACCATACAAAAAAAAAATGTAGCCAAATGTCGTAAATACCCGTAACAAACTCACACAAGTGGGAATGCACTCAAATTAAAAACCATTGTTTTCTAACAACTTCATAAAAAATTCCAACAGTGCACCACACGAATAATACGCGCATGAGATAATAATAAGAGCGCACTTCAGCAGAAAATTAGACGTTCGATAAAATCAATAAAAACTGCCAACATACCGATGTTTCAGTAGCCAGCCAAAATCTTTAAATAAGCGACAAACATTCACTTTTCAAACAGTCTCCGTTAGCTCATTTTCAGTGTCGCTTCGCGATCACCGTTTGTTCGAAAATGCGCAAAATATTTGCTTTGCTTTTACTGCTGGCTCTTTCGCACCAGCCAACTTTAGCTTGCAACGGTGTGATCGGTCAGACCGCCACGCCCACACGTGATTGGTGGCAAACGGCACAATTCTATCAGATCTATCCGCGCTCGTTCAAGGACTCCGATGGTGATGGTATTGGTGACTTGGCGGGAATCGCATCACAGTTGGACTATTTGAAGGATTTGGGCGTCACAGCGGTTTGGCTGTCGCCTATCTACACCTCACCCATGGCAGACTTCGGCTATGATATTTCGGACTTCTTTGATATACAACCCGAGTATGGCACGCTAAATGACTTTGACAATCTTATACAGGAGACTAATAAACGTGGACTGAAGGTGATATTGGATTTTGTGCCAAATCATTCGAGTGACGAGAGTGAATGGTTCAAGAAGTCGGTTAGACGTGAGCGAGGCTACGAGGACTACTATGTATGGCACGATGGTTATTTGGATGAGGAGGGAAACCGAGTGCCACCAAACAATTGGGTGAGTTGAGACAGAGTAAAGCATTGCCGGCTATCGCGCTTAATTCTTCTTCTTCTATTGTTCAGCAATATTAAATTTTTATGTAATTTCTCAATTTGCAGCTCCAACAATTCCGTGGCTCTGCCTGGGAATGGAACGAAGAACGTCAGCAGTACTACCTACATCAATTCGCAGTCAAACAACCCGATTTGAACTACCGCAATCCTGCCGTGGTTGCCCAAATGAAGCGCGTACTGACCTATTGGCTGGACCGTGGCGTGGCCGGCTTCCGCGTTGATGCGGTACCTTGGTGCTTTGAGGTGTTGCCCGACGAAAATGGCCGCTATCCTGATGAACCACAGAGCGGCTACACTGACGATCCTGATGATCCTGGCTACTTGCTGCACATCTACACACAGGACCAGCCTGAAACACTCGATATGGTGTACCAATGGCGTAAATTGCTGGACGACTACAAGCGCATACATGGTGGCGACACGCGTGTGTTGCTCACTGAGGCTTGGTCTCCGCTGGATTATGTAATGAAATTCTACGGCAATCGAACAGTGGAAGGCGCACAAATGCCATTTAATTTCCAGTTCATCGTCGGTGGCAACGGTGATAAGAATAACACACAATTACCGGCATCAGGCTTTGTGAAGATCATCAGTAGCTGGTTGGATAATATGCCCGCCGGTGGCACAGCCAATTGGGTGGTGAGTAATCGGAAAGACGAATTTCGCGTTTATTATTTCAATTGAGCTATCAATTTAAATCGCTCTTCATGCAGATGGGTAATCACGATCAGCGACGTGTGGGTAGTCGTTACGGAGAGCACCGCATCGATACAATGAATATGCTGCAGATGTTTTTGCCAGGCGTTAGTATTACGTATATGGTGAGTACAGAGTTAATTTATATTTGATAGTATGAAGAGCGCTAACTAAGAGAGAATAGTATCTAAGAGAGGGCCTTTGACGATATTTCTATCTAAGTTTTTGTTGCTCGCTCTTAGGGTGAAGAGATTGGCATGACTGATTTGGATATCTCTTGGGAAGATAGCCGCGATCCAGCTGCTTGTAACTCCAATCCTAACATCTATGAGCAATTCACCCGCGATCCTGCGCGTACACCTTTCCAATGGAGCAACACCGCCAACGCTGGCTTCTCAACCAACAGCACCACATGGCTGCCGATCAATCCAAATTATGTAACAGTAAATGTGGATACCGAGAAGGCGGCTACGAAGAGTCACTTGACAATTTACAAGCAGTTGGTAGCGCTGCGAAAGCAGAAAACGTTGCAGCTAGGTGACGTGCGCTACAGCGCTTTTGGAGATAATATCTTAGCCATTGAGCGGTAAGAAAGTGCCGGAGGAAGGTAGAGCGTTCTGGGTTATGTTTTTAAATTATTTGGTTACAGTTCGTTGAAGAATGAGAAGACGTACCTTCTGTTGGCCAATGTGCTGGACAGCGATGCAACGGCGAATGTGTCTGACGCATTGCGTGTAAGCGGAAATTTCAAGACTATCATTTCCAATTTGATTTCAACGAGAAGTGAGGGGTAAGTGAATGCATAATATTTATAAAGACCGTGGATTCTTGCCTATAAAAATTATATTTGGTTTCTTTGTTTTGCAGTGATATCGTTAGCGCGGATAATATTTCATTGAAGGCATACGAAACGATTATTGTGGAGTCGGTGTGAAGCTAAAGTTGAATAGAAAAAAATGTTTAGTATATTTTGGAATTTTACTTCTTAGCTACAGAAGATTTTGTGATATGAGTAGCTTTTTCGTTTGCATGCCAACCTTTGACTGCGATTCCTCTTCACTCCACTCAAATTGCTAGAGCTGTACATAGTTAATACCAGTATTTTGTTACTGCATTAGTAAATTAAAGTTAGAAATTAGCTACTGCTAGAAATTTTCAATACTTATGTAGTTACAATAAATGGCTGTTAAGAAACAAATTATGGTCAACAGAAACTTAATTAAAAGTTTATATTTATGGGTTAAGCGTTGTTAAAATTTAAAATAGCATACACAGATTTAAAATCATCAAAACTGTTTTCGCAGTTTTTTTTTAGTTATTATAAGTGTTGATGTGTGTGCTTATAGGCGGCATACACGGTGCGTCTGAGTCGCGAGTCATTTGTGTACGTGTTAGCCTTCGACTACACACAGTTGAATCATTCAGAGTCATGCCAGGAGTCATTTTCGATGTAACTAACACATATTTATTTTCACAAACACATCCAAACCGACTCACAAGTCAGACACACCGTGTACCTATGTCGCCTATTAAAAGTTCACAAAAACAAAAGCAAACTTTTTGCCACTGCATATTTAAATAAATTCCAAAGTTGGAAATATACGTATGTTGTCGTAATTACGAGTGGTGTTCTAAGAATAAAACAACGGGCCAATAGTATTAACAGTGCTGCACATTTCTTCTTCTGATATTTTTTTACACTATGACACTGCCGTGTGTTCGCAGCCTTAAAGCTTAAACAGACGGCAGCGTTGATTCAGATTAACTCGGACTTGATCCGGATCAACTGCAGTTGATTCCCGAGTTGATCCGGATCAACGCTGCCGTCTGTTTATGCTTTTAGTGGTATGGCGTGTAATCCAGTTAAGCAGAGGCCCGTAAGGGTTCTTATAAGGAAGATTTCTCTGTTTATAGTCGACAGCATCGGTTTTTATTTGCTGATTTGAGAAAGGCGTGGCATTCTCTAGTTTTTACAGCACGAAAGTGTGTTCCAGATTTCATTGAACTAGTCTGTTTTTTCTCTCGAAAAATTGCCCTCAAAACCCCAATGTCCAGACACAGATATGAATTGGATTATATAATGCAGCTCGTTCAAAAAATGTACGGTTTTGAGCAATAGACTCTCTGTTTCTGTTTAAGGTAAGAGCCATCTTGTGAGTTCTGCTATATCGATGCCGTCGGGTTTGTATACCGTCTATTTAGTAAGCTTAGTCTTAGCTGAATTTATTTCTAAGCCGCTGCATTTGGAAATGTGTCATCAAAAGCTCTGCTCTGTTGAGGAATGCTAATAGAGCGTATTCGTTAATTTCAAATGATCTCTCAATTATTGAGACCAAATGACTTAAGTGCATCAGAAAAAAAGACCTCAGAGAAAACTAAAGTACCATAATTTTTAGGAGATACATTCATTTGAAAATGATTAATCAGAGAAAGAACTCGAAAGCCATAACTTTTAAATGCTCTTCATTGTCCATTGTCATAAGGAATTCCTTAGAGTTTGAGCGGAGAAAGATAGTTCGTTATTAAGAAATGCTTCCTTACACTAGTCATTTGAAACGCGGGAACTCTATTTGCCAAAAAAAAAGGATGTATCTCATATGTATATACAGGGTATCCTAAACCACTCGTCCACCCCTTCTAAAATGTAGGGAAATAATTTTTATGATCTACCAAATTGGGGATGCTACCGACTTCCGGTTTCGAACGAAAGTGGGAAAAACTGGATCTGAAGTTCATTTTGTAGAAATTAGAGATACTACTGTTTTTACTACTGATTTGGATTCTGATGAAGTGGCTTTTTCAACCAGTAAATGACCTTCAAACTTCAACTCGTCCTGGACTTTTGAAATAAGTGAAAATATTTTCAAAACGAAATGGTAGGTCGAGGATGCCCTATCTGTTGGTCGTGTTACTGACTTCCGCTTTCGACCGGAAGTGGGTTAAACTGACTGCAGTCATATTTTTGCGTTTTTCAATAAAAAAAAAACATTACCCTCTATTTTAGAGAGGGTGGACTAGCACATCCTGTATATATATTCGTAAGTATTCATAGTATGTGCTAGTTTGCTATTTATTAAGGACTATCCTTGTTGCTGCGTGCTACTAAATATTCATTTTGAAACACATAAACAACTTTGTGGTCTTTTGAAAAATTTCCACACAGCATAGCAGTATAGCAGCAGCAAAGTAAAAAGTTCGAAAACGACATATATATACATTTTTACAATACATAGATCTGCATAAGTTTCATGCCTACGAGCATTTGCAGTTTGTAAACGTGTACGTTTACGAGCGCTAACTTTTGAAGATATTATAAAGTATGATTGATA